GGAAATTTCTCCAGAGAAGTTTCGCATCTACTTCTTCCTCCCAGGCATCTAAGTGTATCACCAGTCCAAGGCTGCTTTAAGCCGAACGTGAAGCATTCCGGAACCGCCTAGGTGGCATGAGGGATGCTGATCTAAGGAAGTAAGCTTGTGGCTACAACCTATAATAGACGTTTTTAGTTTTCCATTTCCCTGTTAACTTCCAAGACAACTTTTCTTGAGGTCCTCTGGCAATGGAGTATATTAAAATGGGGTACATTTTCTTTTCTTTATTCTTAATCTGAGGATGTAGATCTTTGGGGGTTCCCAGTTTTATGGACAATAGATGTCCTTTAAGAGGGGATGGAGGTCATAAAACTGAAGCTCAATTTTTCTAGGTTTGGTAAATGACTTCAGAGCAAAAGTATCTACCATCCTTCACTTACCTCTTACGTGTCTTTATTTTCTCTTATATTTTTGCCTTGTAATCTCTTACTTTCTTATTGGCTCTTTGGTGCTTTCTAGGAGCCTGTTGGAGGGGGTTCTGAGGTTGAAATGTTTATTGTTAACTGAGTCAAAGCATTGTTATTACTATCAACCTCCCACCCAAACTGCTCTATTTAATAGTAATAATATCTACATTTACTTTATTTTTTATTGATTTTTAAAAATCCTCACCTAAGGATATGTTTTTATTGATTTTATTTACTTATTTATTTAGAGAGAAACATCTGTGTGATATAGAAAAGTCAATTGGTGGCCTCCTGTATTCACCTGGGTGGAACCCACAACCCAGGTATGTGCCCGGGAGCTGAACCTGAAATCTTTTGGTGTACAGGATGACACTCCAACTGGGCCACCCAGCCAGGGCTCAAACTGGGTTTTAATGTCTACTCAGAGACAGAAGTTGAAGCCTTGGCTTTATTCCCAGGATGATGATCAGCAGGACTCTAGTGAAAGGGGACCTGGGTCATGATTTAGGACCACAAGGCCTGTTCTGTTCACTCAGGTAGGGCAGCTTTTCCCAAGGGACCGCCTGTCTGCCCAGGAGCTGCCAGCCAACCTGCATTCGTTCTCACTGGCATCCCTGGCTCATTATGCAGCCTGAGGACACTGGACATGAAGGTACACTCTTCAGCAAACACACAGGAATTAAAGGAGAAAAGGGGTAATTGGTTCTTTCAGGGAGAGAAGGGAGGATACCAATTAAAGTGTATGGCAATTTGAACGAAGGTGCAGATTTCGTGACATTTTGCTTTCCGTAAGCGAAAAGTTAACAGGCTATCGCTTTAGGTCCAGTACCTTTGATATATATATATTTTTAATCCTCACCCAAGGATATTTTTCCATTTATCTTCAGATAGAGTGGGAGGGAGAGAGGGAGAGAACGGGAGAGAGTAAAATCAACGTGAGCGGGGCACATCGACTGGCTGCTTCCCTTATGACCCTGACCAGGGCCAGGGACAAACTGCAACTGGGGTACATGCCCTTGGCTGGAATCGAACCCATGACTCATTGGTCTGTGGGCTGACGCTCTACTGCTGAGCCAAACTGGCCAGGGCCCAGTATCTTTGATATTAATTTTATCAAAGTAAAGATGTCACTCCACTGCTTATGGAGAAATTAGTGAATTTTCCTTCCTCTAGCTCGATAAACAGATAATTCTGCTTTTTGAAAACTACACTTAGCTGGTGCCAAGATAGGTTCAGTTTGTTTCTCTGAGCTCATTTGTGTGCAGGCTTGCCCTCTGGACGCTTGCTGAACCTTCGGCTGCCTGTAGCATGCTGATGAGTGGGAGATCTTTCTGCTGATTCCCAACGTGGGAATCTTGACTTGCATGCAAAGCCTGCTGTTTTTGCAAAATACAGCTTGTTCAGATGGCAGACAGACCTTAAAAAGTGGAGCGATTCACAGAGTGCTTTATGCCCGTCTTCTTCGGCTGTGGCGCTAGCGCTGGTTTTATAGCCTGTGTCAATGCTTCAGGCTCCACACGTCACATCTGCCATCAGCGGAGCTAATGAAAGCTTTTTGCTCATTCGTTTGGCTTTAGCAACCAAGAATGTCAAAGAAATTACAAGACTTGACTTTATTAAAGATATGATTGGGAATTGTGTTCTTAACAGAGACAGAGTGTTAGACACCTTCTCGGGGGAGTCCCGAGTACCTCAGGACTGGAATGTTTTCAGTTCATGGAGTTGAAGATTGAAAATGCAATTCCTCTTGACCTTAGAAATCAGGGACTTCAATCACTGCCCACAAATGGGGGAAGTAAAACAGGAGACACAGGCACTGTTGTCTTAGGGAGAAACAACATACAGAACCGTGCCACGAGAGCAGTGTTAAGACAGCGAAAAAGTTTAATGACGTGGTGCAGAATCTAATTCTACCCTTTTCTTTTCCAATCATTGCAAAACCGAAGAAAATAATTTCTTTCCTCAAGCACCAAACCCTGAAAAATTAAGGTCTGGGAGGAAATCCACGAGAATTGGGGTAGTTGAGGAAGATTTTATAAAGTGTGGGTGAGAGAGGTTGAGGGTTTGTGCATTTATTCACCGAGTCTTTTGATGAGCATCAATTTTATGTGAGGTCTGAGGAGAAACAAAAATATGATACATTCTTTACTTTAATAAATAAAAGATGAAGGGCCCTGGCTGGTTTGGCTTAGCAGTTAGAGCGTCAGCCTGTGGACTGATGAGTCGCAGGTTCGATTCTGGTCAAGGGCATGTACCTTGGTTGTGGTTCGTCCCCAGCCCTGGTTGGGGTTGGGAGGGAGCAACCAGTCGATGTGTCCTTCTCACATCGATGTGTCACTCTCTCCCTCCCACTCTATCTGAACAAAAATAGAAAAATATCCTCAGGGGAGGATTAAAAAAAAAAAGAAATTATTTCTTTCATTCAAATCATAAATACAATCTGGATCTAGATACAATGGCCAATGCACTTGCAATGTTTACCATCACAAAAGGATTATGAGAGAGAGGAGGGTTTGACGGCATTTCACCAGGCCAGAATTCCCAAGGTAACATTTTAAGCTTACTAGTGAATTTTCATTTGCCAAGTTAAGAAGTTAGTGGTGTTCCATGATAAAAATAATATATGGAAAAAAGAGTGTCATATGGTACCAGGACAAAATCAATCATTTTCCTCATTTACAGGGCATTTTGCTGAGCCCTTTGGAGTGGTCTCTCAGGTGGGACATGAAAATAGAGAGGTTCATGGGGTGGAAGATGTTTCCATGAACAGAAAGCACTGTAGTGTATTATTTACAAACAGGGACTCTAGAATCTGAATCGATTCAAATGCTGTTTCAGCCACTGTAGTTTAGTTCAACTCTTTGAGCCTCATTTTCCTCATCTGTGTTAAAGATAGTAAATCCATCTCATACAATCGTGACCACAGGGTATCTAAAGTGTTTAGCGTAGTGCTTAGTATTTAACGTGTTTAATAAGTGGCAGATATCAAAAGCAGAGTCTGGGGCAGCTTGTCACCTGAAATTCAAGAAATACTGGCTCGCGCCGGCTGGTGTGGCGCAGCTGGTCGCAAGCGAGAAGCGGGAATAGCGATCGCGTCCCTGTCAGCCCCTCTACACGTCGTGCCCGCTCTTCCCGCGGGTGGTTGTGTTTCATCACATGAAACCTGACTAATGAATGGCTGTGTGCACCAATGCCAGTCTACCTGTTAAATATTAGTGAAGCTTAATCCAGCTTTTGCTGATGAAAAATTAGTAGAATTTCTAATATTTTCTTCCCACAATCCACTGGATCACTGCCTGCTTGTGACTACTGGCACATAAAATAAAGCATGGCTTGGGTATGTAGTAGTCCACGGTTTCTCTACCACCCCTGCCAAACAACTGAAAACAAGAAACTGAGAAATGGATTTTCTTTTTTTTTGTTTGGTACGTGCCCCTAGTGGGAACCGAACCCGGGACTCTCTGGTCCGCAGGCCGATGCTCCAACTGCTGAGCCAAACCGGCCAGGGCGAGAAATGGATATTCTTTTAAACCAAGTCACCCTGGCAACATATGAAAACTTTTACAACAGGTCATTATAACATATACCATTCATATATATGATAGTTCTATTTCTATGTTCAAATAGAAATGCAAACACTGGTAAATAAAATCACCCAACACCAGGAAGAGAGTTTAAAATTAGATTCTAGTATAGCTGATCTTTTACTTTCATTTGAAATTCTGATTGCAAATCCCAATTCAAAGTTTAAATCTTTATTATTATTATTATTATTTTTATTATTAATTTTCCTGTTTAGCTAAGGCATTTTATGTTAGATCTTTGGTGCTACTGTGTCAATAATTTGGCCTGATTGTGCTGGGAAGTTTAAGCATGGTCAGAAATCAGGTCAGGCCTTTGTCTATCATACTGACCGAAAAGAACAGCTCACCAGGGACTGACTGTACACAAAGCTTGCTATTCAGTTTAGCTGAAATGATTTGTGATCCTTTGTTACTCAAGTCTCTTTTAACAAGGACAGAAAGATACAAATTAGAGCCAGCCTATGGGCCCATCTAGTGGCATTTTGAAGAAAAGCAGGTAAAGCTAAGGAAAAAAAATGTTTCCATGTCACAATCATCCCATAAAGATGAGCTACTGGTTTTTCCCCTGAAACCTTAATCAGGGGAATTAGTATGCGTGAAATTATCAAAAGTGAAGTTCCTAAGTCAGTGGTTTTTCAATCACTGGAGAATTTATTTACTAGGTCTGGGGTAGCACCCACCTTTATAGAGTCTCCACTTTGGAAAGATGTCTCAGAGTGCACTAGGCCTATTATAGCCGAGCCTTTCCCTAATAGGAACTCAGCCTATTATGTACCTAGCAGAATGGCTGCATGGTAGAGGTAGCAGCAAACAATTTAGAGATCCAATGAGACCTACAGCCCACTGATAGGGGACCCAAGATTTAGAGTAGGGAGAACCTGGCCTAGCCCTCCCCTCAAAGACATTGAAGCTGTTAGCCAAGACAGAAGGCTGACTTATTATTTTTTTTAAAAACCTTTTATTTTGAAATAATTATGACTTGTATTTTTAAGATCTTCTCAGGTGAACTATTCTAATACAGCTTTTTAGATATTTTTCCCCACTTACAAGAGAAAGCATTTGGCTTAAATAGTCTCAAAATGTCTTCTGGCTCTAACATTTCACAATTCCAACTCCCCTCGTATACCTCTAATATAAATGTGAGAGTAACTGTATTTGTCTCGGCTCACTGATATAATAAATAAGATTCTATAATTTATTAAATAAGTGAATTGTAATGGCTTTGGTCTCATCCTATTATGTTAATAGGAGATAAGGACAATATTAGAACATAAATGAACACTTATTAGAAAGCTGATGTCAAGTACTGGGGCCAGGCTTTCTACATACAGTGAAATTAATGCATTGATACGAGCACATTATGAAGCAAGCAGTCCCTTTACAGGAGGACCTGAGGCCCAGAGAGGTTTACTGATCTGTCCAGGATCACACAGCTCGTAAGTTAAAGACAGTCTTGGACCTAGGTCTGAATTCAAAGTGCATGCTCTTTCTGTATGTGCTCTTACCTACAAAAGTCTACAAAGAGCTCTCCAGTAGCCAATTGTATTAACCTTTTCTCAAACAAAAGTATCTTTGGCCAGAACTACTGAAAAGGAGGGAAAGTAAAGTATTTTATGGCCAGTCTTCTGTCCTTCTTTAGTTATGTATGTCTAAAATACAACAAGATAAATTTGTGTGCCACAGGGTGGTGGAGAAAATAAAGAAACTAATCTGTCATTGACTATATGACAACACTGCTTGTGGACACTTTATTCACTTTAAAATAAATATTGAGCTGTAAAACTGCCCCAAACTAAATTCTGTAGCACACAGTAGGCAAGTACAAAGGATAGCCAGCACAGTACGTTGTTAGAGTAAATCATCCTAAGTCAAGAGAGAAGAATCACTGACTGTGTACACCAGGAACATACTTTGAGGAAAACACACTCATATCAAGGAGAGAGAAGTAGATAAACGTTCTGAGAGAGGGGCAACCTATTACAAACATGAACTTCTTGGTGAAGAACATAGGTGAAGAAAACTTGTATGTGAGGCTCTGCTTTATACCCAGTTTTTAGTTCAATACCTGGTAGAGAGCAGCTGCAAAATAAAAATTTGTTGAAAGAATTTCAGTTGCTAGAAAACAATTTTACATAGTCTTCCATTTAAACAACCTCCTATCAATTTCTTTCTTCATTCTCTTTACTTCATTAACTAGTTATATATCCTATACTTTACATAATAAATCTATTATTTAAAAACTTTCAATAGGTACAACAATTATGGCATTTCATTAGGCTGGGTTCTAAACTGCTTGGATGAGACTTACTTTGGAATCACATTATCCAAGCAAAGAAAAACACAACCAGTTGATTAGACACAATAAAAATAAAAAATGTGAGACAAATGCCTGCCTTAGAAGTTTATCAACAACCTCTTCTATACACATATATATTCACAAAGTGGTTGGGAGTCCTTTTATATGATCCTTTAGATGAGGTCCAATGGCTGAGAACTCTATAATGAGACACATGGTCAGAAATCATTAAGACTTTCAATGATCTTTTCTTTCCCTGAACTTTATTATCCTTTAGTTGGGGAGAGAAAGAAGTCCATTTTCATCTGCGGTATCTAAGATTTTACAGATCACTGGAGATTCAACCTAAAGAACAACAACAATAAAATCATTAAAAAGTTGCTAAGATGAATACCTTCTTTATTCAGTATTATTCTGCTGAATGAATACATGTATATAAATCTGCTAAATGTATATACAAGCCCTGGTTTTGGATAAACCATCCAATGTTATTTCTACAAATTCAGCTTTTTGAAAAACAATTTTTAGTCATTCATATAAAATACCAAAAAGGTAGAGAAGATATTTTTATCTTCAAGTAAAAGAGATGAGAGAGAGCCCTGGCTGGCATGGCTCAGTTGGTTGAGTATTGTCCCATACACCAAAAGGTGGCGGGTTCAATCCCCAGTCAGGGCACATACCCAGGTTGTAGGTTTGATCCCCAGTCAGGGTGAATGAGGGAGGCAGCATATTGATGTTTCTCTCTCTCTCTAAAAGAAGAAAAAAAAACCCAGTAACAATAATAATAATAATAATAATAATAATAATAATAAAAAGAGATGAGAAAATGAGTAAAGGACAACATTCAGAGAGGAATACATAGCTAGGTTTTACACAACAAAAAATAGAAGAGTGTGGCCAAATAATAAGTGTACAATTCAAGAAAAAGGCAAAGGAAAGTGTAACCCAAAGAAGGGTCAGGTGTTGAAATTATCAGATGTTAAGATAATTATAATAAATATGATGTAGGAAATAGTGGAAAAGATAAACAACAGGTATGAATAGATGGGGGAATTTTAGCAGAGGAAAGGAAGCCATAAAACATTTAATGGAAATGCTAAAAATAAAAAAATATGTCAGAAATAAATTCATTCAAAGAGCTGGATGAGACACAGCAGAGAAAAGAATCACCACACCTCAAGATAGTTCAGTAGAAATGACCCAAATTGAAACAAGTAAGCAAAGAGTGAGAATAAAAGTTTCTGAGATTTTGGGACAACTTTCAACTAACATGTTTAATTGGAGTCTCAGAAATAGAGAGAAAAAGAATGGGGTAGAAGAAATCTTTGAGGAGATAATGTGTAAAAATTTCCCAGAACTGATGAATTATATCAACCCACAAATCCAAGAAGCTCAGTGAACTCCAAGCGGAAGACATACAAAGAAAACCACTGTTAAGCCTCATATAATCAAAGGTAGAAATCATAAAGTTTTTAGAAGAAAATATAGGATAGTATCTTTGTGACTTTGGGATGGCAAAATTTTTACAAAAAAGCATTAGCAATAACGGGGGGAAAAATTGAGAAAATGAACTTCATCAAATGAAATTTTGCTCATAAAAAGATATTAAAAAATGAATAGGCAAGCCACAGATTGGGGGAAAAATGTGCAATATAAATACAAAGAATTCATGTCCAGAATATATTTGAATTCTTAGAAATGAATAACAAGACAAACAACTACAAAAATAAAAATGGGTAAAAGACTGACAAAGACTCTCTTCTTGACCAAAAATCCATGATCAGGCTCCCCTGAACTCTCTTTCAACTAGGCCTCTTTTTGTCCTTGGGCCCTGTCTTGGGTATGCTGGGTAAAGTTGTAGAAAAAAGTCCTGATAAGCCAGTTTAGAGAGGATCCCTCATCATCAATATCTAAGCACACTCCATACTGATAAAATTCCTCATCTCTCACCTTTGCTATCTGATCATCCTGGCTTGCCTTCAGCAATAATGCTGTTAAGTCAGTTTAGCAAGAATCTCCTACCCTTAGTGTCTCCTCTTAGTAATTTTCCATTTACTGGCCAACCCCCTCCTCCCGATGTCTGCATGTTGGCTATACATTCCCAGCTGTCTTTACTTTATTTGGAGCTCAGCTGGATCTCTCCCCTACTGTGATAGTCTTGACACCTATTACAATAGTCCTGAATAAAGTCTTTCTTACTGTTCCAGTATCAAGATAATTTTTTATTTAAAAAGACTTGGTTAAACATTTCATAAAAGAGAATATATGAAATAATCACATGGAAAGGTGCTCAAACCATTTTTCATTTGGAAAATGCAAATTAAAACCACCCAAATGACTAAAATAAAAAGACTGACAATACCAAATGTGGATGGTGAGAATACAGAGCAACTGAACTCTCACACATTGCTGATAGGAATGTGCAGTAGTTCAGTTACTTGGAGAACTGCTTGGTAAAATTACACATACATCTACTCTATGATTCAGCAATTCCACTCCTAGGTACTTAACAAAAGAAACAAAAACTTTTTTTTTTTTTTTTTTTTTAATCCTCGCCCGAGGACATTTTTCCATTTTTTGGATGGATAGAGTGGGAGGGAGAGAGAGGAAGAGAGAGAGAGGGAAACATCGATGTGAAAGGGACACATCGAGTGGCTGCCACCCGCACAACCAACCAGGGCCGGGGACAAACTGCAACCGAGGTACATGCCCTTAGCGGGAACCGAACCCGGGTCTCTCCGGACCGCAGGCGGACGCTCTAACCGCTGAGCCAAACTGGCCAGGGCAGAAACAAAAACTTTTAAAAAATGTTCATAGCAGCCTTATTCATAAAAAAAAAAAAATGAGAATGAACCCAAACATCTATTTATAGAAGAATGGATGGATAAGCATGTGTGGGATACTTATACAAAAGAACATTATTCGCCCTGGCCGGTTTGGCTCAGCGGTTAGATTGTTGGCCTGCGGTCCAGAGAGACCCGGGTTCGGTTCCCGTTCCCGCTAAGGGCATGTACCTCAGTGGCAGTTTGTCCCTGGCCCTGGCTGGGTTGTGTGGGTGGCAGCCACTCGATGTGTCTCTTTCACTTCGATGTTTCTCTCTCTCTCTCTCTCTCTCTCTCTCTCTCTCTCTCTCTCTCTCTCTCTCTCCTCCTCCCTCCCTCCCTCCCTCCCACTCTATCTCAACAAAATATTGAAAAATGTCCTCCAGTGAGGATTAAAAAAAAAAAAGAACACTATTCAGTAATAAAAAGACAACGAAGTGCTGATACATGCAACATGGCAGAGTCTGAGAGACATGCTGAGTCAGAGGCCAGGCATAAAAAAAAACCTGTATGCTATATAATTCCATTCATATGAAATAAAAAACAAGAGGGAAGACCGATCTATGGTGTCAGAAATCACAAAGGGGTATCTTTGGGGATTGAGGAATGTTGACAGGGAAGGGGTATAAGAAAGTTTTCTGCAGTGATAGATACGTTGGTTAAGAGTTACATGGGTATATAAAATTATCAAAATTCATCAAACTCAATACTTAAGATATTTGCATTTAATTTTATGCATATTATACCCCAATAAAAACAGTTTTACAGAAGTAACACATTTTGGAAACTAATGAAAATCTTTCCAAACTTAATGCTAAAAATTAAAATGTGGCCCCAAACTGAATTCCTGAGTATTATTTTTGTACTTACCCCAAGGATATACTGACACGAGTGAGGCTCTAGCATATATACAGTAACAGCATGAGGAGAATCTGATTCTTTACACCTAAAACAGAGAGTACTTTACAGTGCTGCCCAAACCATACAAAATTATTTTTAATTGTTTTCCTCTTAAGCTATAAAAATTCCATATTAGTGGCCCTGTATAAATTCAATACAGAACTGGATTAATAATTTATTATTTATAATTTAGTAATTGTTATAAATAACATTATGAATAAAGGCAATTACTCATAATTAACATTTTAAATTTATAAAAACTGTTGCCCACAGAAGGCAGCTCACAGAGAAAGGCGTAGAGCACAGCTGGACGGTCTGACTTACTTCAGTTTTACGGTCACCTGTCTTGGTTTGTCAGTTATATCACAGACATCTCCATTCCCGTAAAAATGTGACACCATCCTGAACCAGAAAAACACATGCTTAAATAAAATTCCACTAATTTAGAGTAATTGTGATGGGTAGGGGGAAAAGATGGTTAGAGGGTCAGTTTTGTATTAGTTAAAAAAAATCTGACTATAAAATATTCTTTAAAAACACATATTTTTAGGGGTATGTCACAGAGAGAGTCTTTCAGATTCTATAAAGAGAATATAAATTGAGATACTCTGTACTGGTTTAATAAGAATGATCATCAATTTGCACATTATTTATTTGTATACAAATAGTTAAGGTTAAACTGCTTTAAAAACACCATTCTTTTAAAATTAACCATTTCTCCAGCCCTGTACAGTTTGCTTTGTGGAACAGTTTTCCCTTCTTCCCATCCTCCATCCTGCTCCACCCATTGAAATGCTGTAGGGCAGATGTACAAGGTAAAGCCTAGGTTAAGCTATACATTCCAAACAAGCAGGATCCAAAGAAAAGCTTTAATTTTGCTAGCCTCACACTCCTGTGCTTCAATATTTGTTGCACATGATACCATAAGTTATTTTTACATGAAACACATACAAACATAAGACAAATCCTTTAGTATAGCACTATGCTTTACCTGAATTACCTTATTTAAATGTCACAATAATCCTATGAGGCAAATACTAATAGATAAGAAAAGAGACTTAAGAAGATTATGTAATTTGCTCAAGCCAGAATTGAATCCAGGGCAGTGGACTTCAGAGACTTGACTTAACTATTACACTAAGTTGTTTCCCACACAAAAAAACTACCCTAACAGATGTCCCTGATAAAAACTGACCAAAGATTTTACTTGAGTTACATTTTTCAATATTCTGAGTTTTACGTATTCTACCAATCAGATCCAAAGGCAAACAAAGTTGGCCTTACCTGACTGTCTGGGTGCCGTCGTCTTGAAGGTGATAGGCTCTGGCAGTGTTCTTCTTAGCCCACTCAATATGCTCGTCTTGGTTCCACGTCCCGACAACCACAGCAGTTTTCCCACTATCCTTGTCCTAGTATATGAAAAAATATTTGTGATAATGCATGCCTGATGTCATGAAATAGACATTTATGCTGATGGCCTATAATCTATAGTCCCTATCCTCATAAGCACACTGGGTATCTATATTTAAGAGATGATAATGTTTTAGTCAAACTCGACCAGTAGAAATTTGAGCTTGTTTGTTATCTTCTTTATTCCTGTTTCTCTGGAAAAGGAAACTACTTTCTAGTCAGAATAGCTTCAGACATAATTATCTTTGACTATTCTATTTCCTTCTTCTCCTACACCTATCAGTCCTGTCAATTTTCTTTCTTGGAGATATTCTCGGCTTCAGACTCTTCCTTTACATTTCCACTGTCAACATCTCACCACCCAACCGACAGTTTAATCTTTCATACTAGATGATATAACTATACGCTACTGTGATTTTTTTTTTTCTAAATCCTCATCCGAGGACATTTTTCCATTTTTTGTTCAGATAGAGTGGGAGGGAGAAAAAGAGAGAGAGAAACATTGACGTGAAAGGAACACATCGAGTGGTTGCCACCTGCACAACCCAACCAGGGCTGGGGACAAACTGCAACCGAGGTACATGCCCTTAGTGGGAACCGAACCCGGGTCTCTCTGGACCGCAGGCCGACGCTCCAACCGCTGAGCCAAACCGGCCAGGGTGCTACTGTGATTCTTAACGAAACTTCTGGTCTCTGTCCCCTACCCTGAACCACACTGCAGCTACACTCAGCCTATCTTCATCTTCTACTCTTTCAGGTGCAAACCTTCAACTATACTACTTTTCACACTACTCATTTGACACCAAGCTCATTTCTGCTTCAAGACTGTTCACAAACCCCTTTCCCTATTCTGCTTTTATTATTTTTTAAACACTAACTATATGTTGTTTTATATGTGGACTTCATTCTCTCTCCTTCCTTTTCCTTCGCCTAGTCCCCTTCCTTCCTGTCAGCTTTTCCTTCTTCCTATGTTATGCCAGGCACTGTGCTGGGCACTAATATCCATCTGATGAGTAGAACTAAAACCCTTACAGCGGCAAATGAAACCCACATGGCCACTGCCCCAGTGGAGCGTACTGCCTCGGCAGAGAGCGCCGTAACATTCTTTTAGCAACCAGACCAAGTCTCTAGACAGACATGGATTAAGAGGCTGGAGATGGAGCAAGACTGCCTGGGTTTGAATCTAGTTTCACCATTTATTTCCTATGTGATTTTAGCCAAGTTACTAAGTCTTTGCTTTCATTTCCTTGTCTTAGAATAACAATACTCATCTTAGTGTTGTTATGAGCATTAAATGAGTTAATATGTATAAAGTACTTAGAACAGTGCCTGGTATACAGTATACAGTGAGTACTATATTTGTTAGTTACTATTATTTATTTATTAAAAAAATTCTTTTTTAATCTTCACCCGAGGACATTTTTCTATTTATCTTTAGAAAGAAAACAGAGAAAAAAATGATGTGAGAGATACATATCGACTGGTTGCCTCCTGCACGACCCCGACCAGGGCGAGGGACGAACCGCAACCGAGGTACGTGCCCTTGACCGAATCAAACCCGCGACTCTTTGGTCCTCGGGCTGAGGCTCTAACTGCTGAGCCAAACTGGCCAGGGTGCTACTATTATTTTTCTATTTCCCAAAGGTCCCAGAAAAGTCCCTCAGAAAGCTCTAGGTTATATGACCTTGAATAAAATAAGGTTGATAAAAGCCTAGTATAGGCAAGTGTACAGGAAAAAGCCATTGTTAATGGGAATGTAAACTGGTCCAACCATTTGGAAGGCAACTGTTCAGCCTGCACATACTTTGCCCTAGCAAGTACACTAGGAATGTGACAGAGAAATACCATATGATTTCACTGATATGTGGAATCTAAAAATATAAAATGAATAAACAAAACAAAACAGAAACTGTTTATAGAGAACAATATAGAGAACAAGCTGATGGTTGCCAAAGGGGAGTGAGTGAGGAGACAGAATAAAAAAATAAATAAAAAAATTACAAAACAAAACTATACTTTCTCTATTTATAGAAAGTGTTATTGGAGGAACCCCAGCTAAAGGACAAACTGTCATTTTAGGGTTTCTCCCAGTGGGGTTAAAGGGTGGAGACCAGGAGAGTGAGCTGTTAATTTGGCAGATCACCTTAATGAATTTTTAATGTGGAAAGGCAGGTCTGGTACTTAGTTTAAGGTCCTAAGTGCAAAGGTTATCAGAGGCAGAGAATAAATTAGTATGATTATGGACCTGAGCAGCCAGCAGCTAGTGAGGAGAGGACAGATAGCAGGGATGCCTGAAAGGGAAAGTTGGATTGAAGAGAAGAAAAAGATAAAGACGAATTATAACAATGACTAATTTCTTGGTCAAAGCTAAAGAGGTTAGCCACATGAGCTTATTATTGCTCCAGGCTCACAGTAACACAAGAATCTGAGTAGTTAATAAGCAATGTTACTTTAAGATTATTGACTAAGTTAAAGACCGAGTTTTACATTTTCCAGAATTTAGAGAGTTCACTGAGCATTTCCATATTAAAATAATCTCATAATTAAAAGTAACACCAACCCGTTGTTTTTTTTTCCCCACAAAATTTTTTAAAACTTTAATCCATCTAGTGGTAGAATGATATAAATGCTGTTCTCTACCTCATGGTATTGATGTACATGTTTGCCATAGCAGAATTCGTATTTCCACCAACCAACACCCTACAGAAAAGAAAACATACCAAGTTATGTACAGGAAGGGGGTCCTGGGGCCTGTCTCAATATTGTCACACAATAGCAACAGAAATATATATAATTTAAAAAACCTGTAATAGCAATAATATGGTTGAAAATTAAAATAAAAAATTACTGACAAAAAATAGACAAATACAGAGAACAACTGCTGTACTTTCTCGATAAAATAAAAATTCCACTTGTATGTGTATTTCTCAATGGAGCTATTAGTCGGGGCAAAATTTTACCTTTGTAGATGTTAACGCAAGTGTTTTTTTTTGTTGTTGTTAATCCTCACCTGATGATATTTTTCCATTGATTTTTAGATAGAGTGGAAGGGATGGAGGGGGAGAGAGAGACACACACACATTGACTGGTTGCTTCTCGCATGACCTTGACCAGGGCTGGGGATTGAACTTGCAACCCAGGTACATGCTCTTGACCAAGAATCAAACCTGTGATCCTTTGGTCTGCTGACCATGCTCTAATCCTGGCCAGGGCTTAACTCAATTTTTTTTTTTTTTTTTTATCCTCACCCGAGGGTATTTTTCCATTTTTTGTACAGATAGAGTGGGAGGGAGAGAGAGAGAGAAACATCGACGTGAAGGGACACATCGAGTGGCTGCCACCCGCACGACCAACCAGGGCCGGGGACAAACTGCAACCGAAGTACGTGCCCTTAGCGGGAACCGAACCCGGGTCTCTCCGGACCGCAGGCCGACGCTCTAACCGCTGAGCCAAACCGGCCAGGGCTTAACTCAAGTTTTAAATGTGATTGCTATAGTCACTGATTCCCATTCCAGCAACCAACTAGAATCACATGTATCTTAGTTATATATATTGTCTGTCAAATAAAGGTTAAGTTTTAGCTTGTGAGTAAAGAGAATAATAATGGTATGGATTATATAGTACGATGTAGAGAGAAATGTCCAATGGGAGGCTTCCAGAATCCTGCCATTTCTCTATGGACCAAAACCTTTTTCAGTGCTGCTAATGCCCCTTGACTAAGTAAGACACAAATGAAAGCTGTAAACTAAACATTTAAATGGAAGAGTCACTTCTCACCCCGTGAAAGCAGTAAGAACCACTAAGGAACTCTTTTATTAGTTGGTCATCTGTCAATTTGGAAATGTGGGTTGTTCCAACAGTGAGCATCGGCTGAGAACCAATAGCAATGGGTTTATGGACTGCTGGGAATCTCTCTTCTTTAGTTGATGGCAAATCTTCCTAAAATTAAACACATACATGTTTAAGGGCTTTTTTGCCACGCTTAATTTTTTCAGTTGGGACTTAAATTATTACTTTAACACTGTAGAAAACTTAGAAAATACAAGTTGTCCACTCATTTTTAATGTGTTTTTTAAAAAATAATTTTGCAATGCTTGAAAAATATTAGTTCCATTTACCCATTAGGAGTATGGTGCCCATTCTTCCCATGCAGGAATTAATTTCCATTTCATACATTTTGTCTCATTATTTTTATTAAGTACTTTGCTACTTGTTAGATTTTGCATCTCTACATTTAGTTTATTAAAATGTGGTTACTATGGGTAAAAAAAGGATAACAAACAGGGTAAAGAGAAACAGAGTAGAAGCAAATATGAATATTAGTTATAATTATTCAAACGTAGCAGGGTCTAGAGAAACCTGCAATTTAGTAAAGGAAGACACCAACTAATAAGGTTGCAGGGACCAGCAGTTTCACAGAAGTAGGGGTGATTCAAATAGACTTTGACCATGAACTGAAACATGAAGACTTCACAAAGAAAAAACCCTTGGTTAATTCTTAAAATATAAATGCTAATTTGTGATTTATGTGAATGTCTGTGTCCATGTGGGCATATGCATGTGAACCTGAGGAAGAGGTACAGCAAAGATGTGAGGAAGGTATGATATTTAAAGCTAAAGAGACAAGCAGGCACTAAATGGTGAGAAACTAAATAATCTCAAAAAGTCTGGACATTACCTTACAGGTTTTGGGCAAAGATTTGAAGTGATCAGATTCTTTAGTAATCACTTCAGCAGTGTGGCAGGGAAGAAGGAAGAGTAAGAACAAATCAGGAGGAGGGGAGCCAACTTAGAAGCTATAGTAACCCAGGCCAGAGAAGAAGAGAATCCAAAGTAAGGGAATGACAGAAGAAGGGTGGAGAGAAGAGGATCGTTTTGAAAGAGGTTAATGAGTTAGAATTTGTAGTTAGCTGGGTACTGACAGTGAGTGAAGAGGAAATTAGATCAGAATTGAAAAGTACCAATTATAATTGAATAAAATAATTTAAAAAATTAAATAGTAAAAGGGTTCCCAGTAAATGTACAGTGGACACAGTATTTCCTTTTTCACCTGCTGTAGGTGCCATTGACCAACTGTGGTTCTTTTCTATTTCAGCTTGGAGAAGTCAATGGACAGTTCCTCTTTCTAGAAACTAATGACCTTATCCTTTCTCTCCTCCAATATTAAGGAAGAACAAATATTGCCAAAATAGCTTCTTTTTAAAAAATATCTTGGCTCACTGGTTGAGTGTTGAGTGTTGAGCCATGTACCAAGAGGTCACCAGTTTGATTCTAGGTCAGGGCACATGTCCAGGTTGTGGGCCCGATCCCCAGTGGGGGCATTCAGGAGGTGGCCAATCGATGCTTCTCTCTCTCCCTTTACTTTACCCTCTCTTCAAAATCAATAAAGAAAAAAAAAAAATTAAGACATAAAAAAAGAAAAAACATTAAAAAAAGAAAAGAAAATCTGTCATTTTCAAAAAAATTATTCCAATAAAAGCAAGATGATAGTTTTTGTAGTAGGGTTTAGAAATTCATAAAACGGACTCAAAATAGTCCAGTAACCTCCAAATTAAAGTAATATAACAACACAGGCAGAACATCAAACCAAAATTCTGATAGATTTGTATTTTTGTTTAAAAAAGAAAAAAATTATTTATCTTTATAATAAAGCTTGATCCACACTTAAAAGGCAAACCATATGCCAAATAGCAACTTTTAAAAGAAAAGTTATGTGTAATACACTAGATTTATTGATATATACTCTATAATCCAGAAAAGGAAACACTGAGGAAATACTGTTAGATAATTCTCATACCTCTTTATTTCTCCTAAAAGGCACCCTTAGAATTTCTTCCTGCTGTTCCAGCTGTCTCAGGGTGAGGGGTTTAAACGGCGATCCTGGCAGTGACTGGCAAAAGATGTCATTCACTGGAGATGCTCTGAATCTGTTCAGTGAAAACAAAGCAGTAAAGCTAAGCACACGGCAACTTTAAAGCACATACATTTCATGTTTAAAATATTAAATCCACATCCTACCTATATTTAGGATGATTGCACAAGAGTGGTGTCAAAATGACAACTTCATATTCACAAGTTGTAACTTCAGCTACTGACAGAATTTCATGCTTAGATTCAGGATGACATATGTACATCACAGTACTTGATCTGGGCCGGTTCTGTTTCAAACTACAAGGTGTACCATTTCCCATTCCCACAGGATAGTAGGGTGTCATCTGACCTTCGATATTTTTAGTGGGAATCTTAAAAAAAGAGTATAAGACAGACTTTTCATTAGAAATGGGGGTAGGAATGAGGATGGGAGAAGCACTTGTTCTGAAAGGAAGAAAACTACATTTTATTTACAGAGTAACATTCATAAAGGTAACTTTTATGTATTTCTATAAGTTCTCCTTCTGATATTCTTTTGACTCATAAAGTTTCTTATTTGAGCAAACACTTATTTTCAGAGCTAGTTAAATACAGCAGAAAAAGAAAATTTTATTTGGCACTAAAATGAAGATGTTAAGTAAATGTACATTTATATAAAAGGCTATGATTAATATGAACTATTTTTAATAGTTCTAAAGAAAGAGACAAAGATAAAATGTAGGAACTTCCTATAAAAGCTGGTCAGAGCTTTCTTCACTAAACTCTCAGTGCGTGGCTGTGTTAGAGTTTAGATTCTAGAGGTCTGAAGTTTGATTTGTCAAAATGTGGAGTTACATAATAGAACACTCACTATCTTCTAAAACAGGAATCTAAATACTGTCCTGTTCATTAATCTGCTTACTCTTCTCCCATTATTAATATTAACAGACATATTTTTCAGCACTTAAACTCTTATATAAATCTCTTCAAAGCCAGCAAAAGACAAATGAAGAAATTTTAATAAAATGGGGGAATAAGGGAGATCACCTCAGAAGACAAGGATTATTAGGGAGTTAGCTTCCATACTATTATCTATATAAACACAAGAAAACCCTAATGTAAGGGTTTTAAAAATATATCATTAATAATATCTCCAAGCAACACCTTTGGAAGCAGGGAGCTTTGGTACCCTGACAGTGCATGTCTAAACAGGCAATAAATAAATATTCCCAGGGAAAAATATTTTGAGATTTCTTATATGCTATTTTCATGCTAGTGTCTGGAATTAGACAGTCCTAGGTTCAAACCCAAGCTTTGAATTTATTAGCTTTATAACTTTGACCAAATTTTAGATTTTGTCATTTGTAAAAGTAGAATATACACTGGGGGAAAAGAGATTTATAGTTGTTTGTATGAAAAATAATAATACATGAATAAACTCTGTGTTCTATACACTCATAACTGTAAAACTACTTTTGCCCTACCCTGTATACCCTAAGGCTGAGGGGAAAATTAATCATTACCTTTTTTTAAAAATTTAATTTATTATTTTTATCCTCACCTGAGGACATTTTTTTCCATTTTTTGTTCAGATAGAGTAGGAGGGAGGGAAGGAGATAGAAACATCGATGTGAAAGGGACACATCGAGTGGTTGCCACCCGCATGACCCAACCAGGGCCGGGGACAAACTGCAACCTAGGTACGTACCCTTAGCAGGAACCAAACCCGGGTCTCTCTGGACCGCAGGCTGATGCTCTAACCGCTGAGCCAAACCGGCCAGGGCAATCACTACCATTTTTGATACATGCCTGAGACAACACTTGGCTTATAAACTGGGGCTCAATAAATGTTAGTTTTCATCCCATACTCTTTTCTTCCTCTTCCTATTTCACACTTTAAATTCCATCTTGCTATCCTCCAGAGCCACAGTAAATAAACATTTTATCTCAAAGGTAGTCTGTAAAGTTAAAATCTTTTAAAATAGCAATGCTATGTATGTCTACACTTAGCTTTATCAATTCTCCACAAAACTACACTTTTAAAATATGTTTTTTATTGACTTTTTAGAGAGAGAGGAAGGAAAAGAGAGATAGAAACATCTATGTGAGAGAGAAACAATTTTTCCTGCCTCCTGCACGCCCCCTACTGGGGATTGAGGCTGCAAACCAGGCATGTACCCTGATGGGGAATAGAACTGGGACCAAGTCCATGGGGTGATGCTCAATCCAATGAGCTACACTGGCTGGGCCAAAGCCACACTTTTAAATCTTAAGCATCCCTTTTAAGTACTTTTTAAATGTGTTTTAATTGATTTTTTTAGAGAGAGAGAAGAAAGAAGTGAGAGAAAGAAATATCAATGTGAGAGAGAAATATCAATTGGCTGCCTCCTGTGTGCTACCTACTGGAGATCCAGCCTGCAAACCCGGCATGTGTCCTGACTGGGAATAGAACCAGGATTTCTCAGTCCATGGGACAACGCTCAATCCACTGAGCCACACTGGCCGGGCCCTTTTAAGTAATTTTTAAAGCCTGTCGTCGGGACTTCCAGTCAAGATGGCGGCGTAGGTAAACGCGGTATCACATCCTCCCACAACCACATCAAAGTTACAACTAAACTACAGAACAACCATCATTCAACCGCCTGAAATCGAGCTGAATGGAAGTCCTACAACTACGGAATTAAAGCAGCAGCTGCATCCAGACTGGTAGGAGGGGCGGAGGCGGACAGGCTGGTCCCACACCCACGTGTGGCGGATAAAATCAGGAGGACACCTCGGCTGGGAAGGTCCTTCCTGAGGACTGAAGGGTCCCCGTCCCACACCAGGTGCCCCGCTCAGGGTTCCAGTGCCAGGAAGAGAATCCCCATAACTTCTGGCTGGAAAACCAGCGGGAACTGAGGCTCAGGGAAGCTGAAGCGGCTGGAGCCCCAGGCAGCTCCTTAAAGGGCCCGCACACGAACTTATCAGACTCTCTCCCTCTAAGCTTGGAGGGGAGGCAGCTCGAGGGGCGCCAGAGACATACAGGGAAGAACTGAGCTGTTTGGCACTGGAGCGAGGGCTGGAGAGGGGGCTTTCTCCGGGACAAACGTGCTGTCAGAGGCCTTTGTTCCTTTGGTGAGCCCTTCCCTGCGGATGCAGACAGCCGCCATATCTGGGACTCCAGCAACCTGGCTCACACTGGTAGCCCTGCCCTGGTGACTCCCTGAGGCCCCGCCCCACCCAACTTTCAGGCCCACCCAAGCTGTTGCCACTTGCTTAACCATAGGATTGGCCTGTCGTGGATCCTGCTTCAGGTTTTCCTAAATTCTTTCAAACATGCAGCATCTGGTCTCAGCGAGCCCCATACCTCTCATTAAGTAATACACAGAAACAAACACAGGGAGGCAGCCAAAATGAGGAGACAAAGAAACAGGTCTCAAATGAAAGAATAGAACAAAACCCCAAGAAAAGAACTAAGCGAAATGGAGATAAGCAACCTAACAGATGCTGAGTTCAAAATACTGCTTATAAGGATGCTCAATGAACTTAGTGAGGGGCTCAAGAGCATAAAAAAGGACCAGTGAGAAATGATGGATGCACAGTCAGAGATGAAGGAGGCATTAACTGAAATAAAGAATAATTTACACAGATTCAATAGTAGAGTATGTAAATCCAAGAAGCAAACCATTGATTTGGAATATAAGGAAGCAAAAAACACCCAATCTGAACAGCAAAAAGAAAAAAAAATCCAAAAAAATGAGGATAGTGTAAGGAGCCGCTGGGACAACTTCAAACGTGCCAACATTCGCATCTTGGGGGTGCCAGAAGGAGAAGAGAGAGAACAAGAAATCGAAAACCTATTTGAAACAATAATGGCAGAAAACTTCCCTAACTTGGTGAAGGAAAGAGACATACATACAAGTCCAGGAAGCAGAGAGAGTCCCAAACAAGATGAACCCCAAGAGGCCCACACCAAGACACATCATCATCAAAATGCAAAAGGTTCAAGACAAAGAGAGAATCTTAAAAGCAGCAAGAGAAAGGCAGCTAGTTACCTACAAGGGAGTTCCCATTAGGCTGTCAGCTGATTTCTCAAAAGAAACTTTGCAGGCCAGAAGGGAGTGGCAAGAAATATTCAGAGTGATGAAAAGCAAGAACCTATAACCAAGATTACTCTATCCTGCAAAGCTGTCATTTAGAATCAATGGCCATATAAAGAGTTTCCCAGACAAGAAAAAGTTGAAGGAGTTCATCACCACCAAATTGTTATTATATGAAATGATGAAGGGTCTTTTTGAAGAAAAAGATAAAATATATGAACAAACAAAATGGCAATGAATACATATCTATGGACAATGGAATCTACAAACAAAATGAACAGGCAGAACAGAAACATTCTCATAGATACAGAGAACATTTTGTTGGTTGCCAGATGGGAGGGGGGTTGGGGGAATGGGTGAAAAAGGTGAAGGGATTAAGAAATACAAATTCATTGCTAGACTGACAAACCTCAAAGGGAAAGGGGTTGGGGGTGGGTGGGAAGAAATAAACCAAAGAACTTATATGCATAACCAATGGATACAGACAATAGTGTGGGAAAAGGCGGGAGGGGGCGAGAGTGGGGAGGAGAGGGTCAAAGGGGGAAAAATGAGGTACATCTGTAATGCATTCAACAATAAAGATTAAAAAAATAAATAAAGCCTGTCGTCATTTCACTTGACTTCTAATAAAAGTCTCATTCTAATATGAAGTCACTTAGAGAAATATCCTCTATCAATAAGTTACTTAACTCTGGAAATTTTTAGGATTCAGAAAGCATTCCTTGAACTATGGGGGCATTTAAAAAATTGTGATTAAGCATTCTAAGGAATCATTCTTTTTTAAAAAACACTTTTTATTGATTTTAGAGAGAGAGAGAGAGACAGACATTGATGACAGAGAACATCGATTGGCTGCCTCCTACTGGGGATTGGGCCCACAACATGGGCATGTGCCATTACCAGGAATCAAACTGGCAAGGTCTTGGTGCATGGGTCAATGCTCAACCAGTGAGCCACACCAGCTGGGCAGGAATCATTCTTTTTAAATAATCCTATTTAGTCATCAATTATGCATTCACATTAATAAACATATATAAAACGCCTGTGTTATGCCTGGCATTCTGCTTGCCCTGCAGGGGATAAAGAGATAAAAGACAGTCCCAGTTCTTAAGATGCCTGCAGCTTGGTACCTTGTTATTTACAGATAATTTTAAATTTATTTATTTATTTAGTTTAGAGAGAGAGGAAGGGAGAGAGAGAGAGAAACATTGATTTGTCCCACCCATTCAGGCATTCATTGATTGACTCCTACATGTACTCTGATCAGGGATCAAACCTGCAACCTTGGTGTACTGGGACTACCGTCCAACCGGGCTACCCAGCTAGGGCCCATAGAAAGTTTTATCTGTTTTACCCACAGGAGATAGGGACCAAACACAAAAGCTTTTATTGTAATTATTTTCATGGTTTAGGACAGGGAACCACTGCTAAGCACAGAGGTGATATAATGCTATTAAAGAAACTTTCCCAGACATGCCTTTGGTAAAATTGCTTATATTTATATGAACTTAAAAATAAATACAAGTATCACAGTGTAACTTTTCTCAGAAAAACCTAACATATTGCAAATTTTTCTTTTACCCAATCTTTTGAGTTATTTGATATAGTTAAAAAACACATGGCTATTAAGTTGTATAAATTAAGTTGTATAAATTCATGCCTAACAGATGTTAAGAGAGAAAAATCAACATTTGTCACTTGCCTCTTTTGATTTTTCCTTTTCTTCTGCTTCGTGTTCTGTGAAATAATATGAGAGTAAGGTAAGTGTAAAGAATGACCAGTGACTTAAATATAAGACACAAATGACTGTTTTCAATCAACTCCATAATCTTAAATTTCTTTCTAAAGAAGACCCAAAATGTGCAGGTACTTTTCATTAGTTTTAGCAAGTTTCCTTGAAGTGGTTTTGTTTGAAAGGACAGTCATATTTAATCTTTACCTAGGAAATACTCTATTTGATGCAAAAAACCTGGCCACAACAGTGTTTTTCTGAAGTATTTTTATCTCAGTGAAAAGTTTAATCATGAATTAGTTTATCATTAAAAAAATTTTTTTCTTTATTGATTTTAGAGAGAAAGGAAGGAAGAGGGAGAGACAGAAAGAAACATTGATGAGAGAGAACATCAACTGGCTGCCTCTTGCATGCTCCCCACTGGGGATTTGGTCCACAACCCGGGCATGTGCCCTGACCGGGAATCGAACCAGCGACCTCTTGGTGCATGGGTCGATGCTCAACCACTGAGCCACACCAGCTGGGCTAGTTTATCAATTTGAATATAGATTAATAAAGTATTTCACATTTGAGGGATAAATCTACATGTCTATTTCACTATATAAAAACTTTGCTTATATCTAGCAAGACTAACACTATATAAATATAACACTAACATGCATCTTAACAGATTTTAAAAAATGGAATACTAGGTAGAAGAAAAGCATAATGTTTGTTAAAGCAGAAAATAATGAAAAGATCTTTTTGAAAAAGTTTTCTCAGGAATTGTTCAGAACTTTATTTTGGTGTTTTAAAATTCAGTCTCCAACAAAATATTTTACATTCCAAACTGAACATTACTTTATATCAAATTCCAGCATTACTATCAAGTCAGTATAGAAAAAAACCTTTAGAAACAAACCTTTTTCAGACAGAAGGGTCTTAGCCAACATATTTCCAAGGTAGTACTCGTGAATATTTACTTTCTGTATTAATAAAAAAATATATATATGAGAGTATTTTGCAAATATATTTTTAAGAACACAAACTTAAAACCATTAATCTCATTATTAGAGTTCTTATTTCATAATGTTCCATACTTTGTATTTTTTTTTATTTTTTTATCCTCACCCGAGGACATTTTTCCATTCTTTGTTCAGGTAGAGTGGGAGGGAGAGAGAGGAACAGAGAGAGAGAAACATCGATGTGAAGGGACACATCGAGTGGTTGCCACCCGCACAACCGACCAGGGCCGGGGACAAACTGCAACCGAGGTACGTGCCCCTAGCGGGAACCGAACCCGGGTCTCTCAGGACCACAGGCCGATGCTCTAACCACTGAGCAAAACTGGCCTGGACCATACTTTGTATTTTTTAAAAAGATTTTTAAAATTAATTTTTAGAGAGAGAGAGGAAGGGAGAGGAAGAGAGAGAGAGAAACATTGATTCAGCTGCCTCCTGCACACCCCCTACTGGGCATCAAGGCTGGCCATATGCCCTGACTTGGAATTGAGATGGTAAACTTTTGGTGCACAGGGCGATGCCCAACCAACTGAGCCACACCAGCCAGGGTGTACTTTGTATTTTGAAGGAAAACATACCTGACCACTTTCTTTCTCTTCATGGTACTGCCGAATATGTTTTCCGTGACATACTTCATAAGTCCAGTAAGACTCAATCTAAGAAAGATGAATCTATTTAAATACAAAAAACCTGCATAACTCAATTCAGTTACTTTTTGATACTTTAGGTAGATAAGATTTCCCCCAAGATTTAGAGTAATTTTTCATTAAATGAAACTTACTATTATGCCTATGAAATTTCTTAAGCCTATTTCACTAATTAGCTGTATGTGAAAATACTATGAAGAAAATAAGTCTAGAAGAACCACCTGACTTAGGGACCATTTTCCACATAGCTTAAAAAATAATAATAATTAGCATTTTTAATTAAAATTATTTATAAAGAAAATGTCTTTTGATCTGAAAAACATTCAAAATAGTTTGGTAAGTGATATTATTTGATATTGGTATTATTGGGTGTTTGCTATATACACTATACAGGAATTTAAATGAACAAAATACTATTAAGCAATAGCTTAGATTTATAACTGAAAATGTGATACAATATAAAAGAAATACAGAATTTATTTTCAAGGGTCTATTGACTGCTGAAAATTTATTTTCTAGTTATCAAGTGAACGTAAAATACATACTCTGTAGGAACAACTGCTTTGTTTAAATAGTGGCTCCAATAAATCCCTTGGATTAGGGCCTTTATAATCTTTTTCTTCTTCCTATGAAAGAATTAGAGTTTAATATTTACAATTATTCTAGAACTTCACCCAACTCTGCTGTTTGGTTATTAATTCATTGGTCAAATCACAAATGCTTAGAAATAAAAAGGGGGAAAAAAAAAGTCAAAACCTTTAATAGTAATCTATGGTATACCACTTCTTTCAAAAGAATTGAAGTATAAAATATAAAGTCTTAGAATAATCTTTCATTCTTTCTTCTCATAAGAAAAGGTTTTTGAGTATCAGTTTCCTGAACAATTCTTATAAGCCTATATCAGATTTTTTACATGACTGTATCCAAACAAATTCTAGCTATAAAAGCCTCAGAATAGTTGAATTTTGTAGAATATATTAGAGAATCTTAAGGTACTTCTTAGTTTTCTATGTATTTTTACATTTCAGACTTGAATGCCAAATATATACATATGTGTGTGATTTGTGTGTGGGTGGTTTGTGTCTTAAATAGGTGTAAAACAAAATTAAACAGCTGTCTGTCACAAATTTCAAATCTGAACAAAACTAAGAAAGCACTGAGTTTATTATTTCCATTTCACAGACCATGAAAATATTACATAATGAGCTCAATAAATTTACTGAGTGGAGGAATTGAGTTTCAAATTTTTTCAAGGTTCCATAGCTAACTATAGCCTATACCTCAGCCTCCTGGCTCCTAGGCTGATGTCCTTTCCATTTTACCATGCTGCCTCTCCTGTTTCATCTTGAAAGAAGTCATTGCCTTAAAGGATGGATAAGAGGCAGTTAGTTAGGGCATTTTAGGAGGAAGAAATGGGCATGAGCTAAGGCAGAGAGAAAGCATAAGGTGCCTATTGATTTATTAGCAATTCTTTACAAAAAATGTCACATATACATTTAAAATTTTTATCTTGTTTCGAAACCCTCATTTCTATAAAGGAAAGCAAGAGTGGAGTTAGATTTTCAACTTCAACTGGTTACTAATTTTTCCAAGCTGTACTGCAAAATCAAAGACTTCAGGATAATAGAAGTGATTGCTATGTCTTTGGTAAAACAGGATTCCTGAAAACATGTCATTCAATTTTATTTTAAAGTATGTAGTTGCAATGTTTTACATAAATATCTTTGGTGACAGGGATTATCAATATACTTATAAAAACATACCTCATCCCCACCTGTCACAAGAGGAAGAATGCATTTATATTTTTCTTTATGTGTAGTTGTCATGATGACATAATTATCTTCTTTATACAAAACTCCAGTTGTAGGCTAGAGATAGAACAAAAAAAACCACATTACTTTCTCTGGTTAAATTGTATTACACTGCATAACTTACAGTCCTAAATCAAACTTACTCATCACTTCAACAGAGGATTCAAAAACATTTCCAAAGGAAAAGGGAAAAGATTCTACGTGTTTAAAATTTCTACGTATATTTTAATGACAAAATGAAGATGACGAACTTTATCCTGGTGCTACAATATAACAGAAAAAAATAAACAAGTTTGGAGAATAAAGAAAGAAGTAGTAATGCAACAGATTGAAGTTAAAATATGGATTAAGAAGCATTAAGAGACATTAAATGTTCATAAATATACCATCACTGAATACTTATAACTCCTACTAACAATTACCACCTATAGGTCAAATTAGAAGCACTTTACAAAAGTACTCGCAATTGTGTTGGACAGTGCAGTATTTTTCACGTTTGGATAATGTATGGATAAATTACTTCTAAAAGAAAAATAACCATGAATCGTCTGTGCTAACTTAACTTTTTTAGTATATATCATGGGTCAGTAAACCTCTTCTATAAAGGGCCAGATAGTAAATATTTTAGGCTTTGTGGGCTGTATGGCCTCTGTTGCAACTACTCAAATTATGCCACTGGAGTAAGAAACTGCATAGGCAATATATAAGTGAACAGGAATGGCAATGTTATGAAAAAATTTTATTTACAAAACCAGATGGTGGGCCAGCCCACAGGTATAATTTGCCAACTCCTGACAGATATCAACAAAGCTATCCATGAAGCTTTCTATACTATAATGCTAAACAAATTCACAAACCAAATACGAACAAATACAAATGATCATTCAATTAGTATAACTGATATTACTTAAAAAGAAATCTCTGTGATAGCAAATGTGTCACTCAATAACTAGTAAGGCAGAGATTTCAGTCTATATGTGTTCTATGATAAATTCAATTCTCCCTTATCTTTTCTCATCTTACAGTACTATGAAACCACTATGCTATTTGGCTATCCCTGGCAAGGAAAGAACCACTATTAAGTACCTCTGTTCTTTTCTCAGTGTAACAAAAACAACTCTTAACCACAAGAAAACCAGTACCACTTGACACCAATGTCATCTTAAACACAAATGCAAATTAGGGCAATGTTTCCCCAAGACAATAAATTAAAACAAAAAATAGCAGTAAATATGAGTTGTATTAACTACACGAAAGTACATTTTAAGTCCTTTACATTTATTAACTCATTGATCCTCAAAACAAGTATTCTATCCATCTGTAGCCCAGAGTTTAATTTGTCCAAGGTAACATAGCTAGTAAATAGCATAGCCCAGAGACGAAACTAAGACTACTTCCATGTTCTGTGCTTTTAACTGTTTTAATATGCTTGACTCAGCTTTTGTTAACATTGACTTAGATTACTATATAGACTCCTGGTTTATGGTCAAGGATCCTTCTTTTTAAATTAAATTTATTAGAGTTACATTGGTTTATAAGATCATATAGGTTTCAAGTGTACATTTCTATGATACATGATCTGTATATTGCATTGTGTGCCCACCACCCAAAGTCACATCGTCTTCCGTCACCATATATTTGGCCCCTTTTACCCTTTAATACCTCCACCTCAAGGATGTTTTTAAAAAAGATTATTGTAAGTGAAGTGGGGAATAAAAATATTTGAAAGTCAGAATTACAAAGTCAAATTTATGTTAAAGGAATTCTTAGAAACATTTATTTAGTTGAGCCAATAAATTGCTGTAACATTTATAATGCCTTTCAGTGTTACACAAGCTAGTGAGTTTCGCAAAACAGGACTCACATCCCTTAGCAAATATGGTCTGAAGTCTTGTAAAATTATTGCTGTACTGTAGTGAAGGCAGATACTAGCACTTACATGTATTTACCTCTATTAGTGAAGTATCTGTAGCTCTAATGTGCAGAATTGAATTCTATAGCAATATCAACTTATTTGCTAACATGCTCACCACAGTGGAAAAAGGAACTGCTTTTTTGGAACCATAGCAAAGAAAGGAAGACAAAGTACTAAATTGCATCGTTCTCATTTTGTGAAACAGGTTCTTAATAAAATATAATAAATTCTGAATGTATGGAATTACAGGTAATGTAAAAAATTTGTTTATGTAACTTAAACCTTACATATTAAGAGGTATTAGTGATTTGATTAGATCTTAGTGATTTGCTAAAAACCAGATTTTAACTTTCTTTTTAAAAAAAATTTTCACCCTAGAATACTTTTCCACTTATCTTCAGATGGGGGGGGGGGGGGAAGCATGAGGTGAGAGAGACATCGATTGGTTGCCTCCCACACAACCCCAACCAGGGCAGGGGACCGAACCACAACCAAGGTATGTGCCCTGGACCGGAAATGAACCCGTGACTCTTCAGTGCATGGGCTGATGCTCTAACCACTGAACAACTGGGCAGACAAAAATATCAGATTTTAATATAATGACCCTAAACAAAGGGGGCTCAATACTTTAAGGTTAAGGAACTTGACAAATATCTTGGCAGGGGAGAAATTCCTAATGTTTGACCTAAGTCTGGAGGAATTAAGATAGAGGATGAGAGGCAAAACTATCCAAAAGAGGCAGTGAAATAAACTCAGTGGCACAACTTATCAACATATATAACATTCTTGGAAATATGGAGTTGGTCACCACTTTTCCCAAGAGTAGTGATTGGGGAAAGTTTTTGAGTGGGAATACATTTCTATATTAACAACAGAAGTAGAGAAAATTAGACTTATTTTGTAATTTTATTTTGGTGAAATCCATGAATTCTGTGAAGTAATGAATAATTGAACACTTTAATGACTAGAAATGATATTTCAGAAGGAAAACATACACAAAAACAAAATTTAATGCTAAAAACTAGTAAAGAATATCATAATCTTTAATGTATTATGTAAACATTTTAAAATTTACAAATTTTTGGTGCTTCATACTTTTTCTAAATAAATTTGAAAACAAGATTGTAATGATTATGTATTTCGATACATATAAATGGGAAGATGATTTAAAACACAAAAGATTTTTTAAACCTAAAAAAAATTCAGATCTAATCCAGTCCCTTCCAATTTTAGACGATAGAGAGATAAAGGCTTTCTCCCTAGTTCACACAGCTGCTTAGTTTTACATAAATGTCCAACCAACTGGCCCATAAAAAAAACAAATAATAGTGCCAGGGAAGGAGGACTGTAGTTTCAATTACATAAAGTAGGAAATGGAAGCCATAAGACTATAAAAATATTTTTTAAAAATCAAAAGACCAATGATGTCTCTTGGGGTTCATTTTTGTCCCAAGGGCCACAGACTTTTTGCCAACTCATAGAAAAACGTATCTAGATTTTTCTGAAAGTAACTCAAAAAAGAAAAACAAAACAGCCCTGGCCAGTTTGGCTCAGCGGTTAAGAGTGTCGGCCTGCGGTCCAGAGAGACCCGGGTTCAGTTCCCGCTAAGGGGATGTACCTCAGTTGCAATTTGTCTCCAGTCCTGGTTGGGTTGTGTGTGTGGCAGCCACTCAATGTGTCCCTTTCACATTGATGTTTCTCTCTCTCTCTCTCTCTCTTCCTCTCCCTCCCAGTCTATCTGAACAAAAAATGGAAAAAAATGTCCTTGGGTGAGGATAAAAAAATAATAATAAAAACAAAACAAAACCTCCCCAAGTCTTCAAATGTGCCCATCTTAGATTATGTTGCATTGCCAAAGAAAAGTAATTGAAAACAAAATTTCAAAATAAAATTGATAGATATGTGAAAGGTTGGTACAGCATTTCCTCTTTGTTGCCAGCAAACACCAGTGCCAGAAAGAAAACTGAAAAATAATTTGGTAGTAACGTCTAAAGAGGCTAATATTCATCCACTTATAGGTCAGTAAGTTTGGAGGGCCGTATATCAGCATGCGATTTTAAATTAAACACACACACACACACACACACACAACAGGTGCAAGACTAAAAATTTTTAATGACCACATTCTTTATATATTTGCCATGTTCATTCCAAGTGTGCTGTTTGGAAACAATAACTCCAACACTGCTAAAGTTACATCTGACTTACAACTGTTAAATATTTCAATATATTATCAATACAGGGTGGAGGAAAAGTAGGTTTACAGTTGCTCATAAATGTAAACCTACTTTTGCCCCACCCTGTATTTCATGGCACTAACCCAAAGATAAACCTGGCTACCCTGAGAAACATTTACTAAGATAAATTTGAACTGCCAGAATAAGAGAACTGAAAACAGGGGAGTGGCGAAACAAAGCATAGTAGCAAAAACACTTGCAAATAGAAAGCTGTTGTGATAATGATGACATCCTTTATCCTGGTATATCTTGTTTCCACGCAAAAATAATAGAACAATATACTAAAATAGTCCCCCAAGTGGAATGACTATAGGTAACTGGAATACGAATTTTAAAAAAGGTTTGCATTTTCCAGGACTTCAGTTGGAAAGAAATGAATTGATCACCACAGGGTAAGTATCATGTAAGACCACACTTTTCATTGGCCAACAGAGGATAGGAAGACTTTTCAGCAGTCGCCTCCCCAAAGAGGACAGCAGATTTTCGTTACTGTGAGGTTATAAATATGTTCTTCGCTGTAGGAAAGCTGATCATAAAATCTCAGGTTCTGGGGTCTTAAGCAACAGCTGTAATACATCAAAACTGTAAAGAATATTCTGCATAGAAAGTCATTAACATCCCAGGCCAAACAGCCATCTCAAAAACAACTCTGAAGGGAAAAGAGCTGTGCATATGAGTTCGTGTGCGTATACAAGAGAGAAGAAGGAATATGAACGAGAGGGAACTCCTATCTGCAGTGCACCGTGTGTGTGGGCAGGAAGGTGTGTAATGCTGGAGGACAGAAGGCTGATGGTGGAGGAAGAGCTGCAGCGGGCTTTCCAGAGAAGATAAATGTGCACGCCTGACGCGGTTCTAAGAAAACTTCCAACGGGAGGGAGTGTTGGTAAGCAGGTGACCGCTGGGTCCCCGATGCTTAGCATGGAAGGCACACCCACACAGTGTGTTCGGTAACACTTGCTGTACGAATGAATGGACGGGGTAAACGAAGTTTTGGAGGGGAAGGAGGCGTGCGCCCGCAGCTGTGGTTCCAGGAAGAAAAAAGCGTAGATTACGGAGGGAAGGGGCCGAACCCGCAGTGCCGGGGGAAGAGATGGCTACGGGGCTCGCGAGGGCACTGACCAGAGAGAACTCGGTGCCGGGCCAGTTGACTCGGAAAGGGATGTCATCGCTGAGTTGGGGGAGCGCTCGGCCGCCGCCGGACGCCTCTAGGAGGCCGCAGAGGACCAGTAACACCGGTCCGCCTGGGACCAGACTCCGCGCGCCGCCGCCTCCTTCCTCCATCCTCCGCCGCCGATTCCTCCAGCCGCCGACACAGCCTCCTCCGCCGCAGAGGAGAGGAGGGGGAGGAGGAGGAGGAGGCGGCGGGACTACTAAGACGCCCAGGCAGCCCGGGGCCCAACCGCCGCCACGTCTCCTTCCGGAGAGCCCGGCAACGCCGCCCCTGCCCCCGTGGGCCCCCGCCACCGTTTCCGGGGCAGGCGGCATGTCAACATCCGGGGTCGCCGAGCCGCCCGCCTACGGAAGCCGGGACGCCGGCCGGACTCCGCTGGTTTCCCGCAACCGCAGTTTCGCGGGGCAGTCGAACGGAGGAGCGGCTTCCCGGGAGGGGACGCCTGAAGACCGGGCCTCGGACCAGTGTTTTCGGCGGAGAAGTGGCGGCACCAACAGCCGGTGAGTCCGGGAGGCGGCGGCCGCGCCCTCCCGCCGTCTGCGCGGCTCCCCAGCGGCGGGCAGCACTGGGACCCCTGGCGCGGGAAGGGAGAGGGCGAGCCGGAGAGGTGCTGGGCTGCGGACGAGAAAACGGGCAGTGGCGCGAAGTGAGAAGGACGGTGTTCCTGACTGCCCCTCCCTCCCGCTGCTTTCCCTTGTCCCTTTCCCGCATCCAGCATCGGCGGCTTCACCTCTCGGGCGAGAAGCCCCTGTCCGCCGCCTCTGCGCTGGGCGGCCGCGGGCTAACGCGCGGTGTGCTGGGCTCCGCAGCCCGGGGGAGGGCACGTCCGCGGAGGAAACCTGTCACGGGACACAACACTGATGCTCCGAGGTGGGCGTGAACCCGGCCTCTCCTCTGGGGAGGCCAGACAGGAGTCACTGTCCTCACCCTTCTGTACCCCACGTGGGGCGCTTCCTTCATCCCATAGATGAAGTGTTGGATGGTTTATCACAGAAGCTGTTTCCTTCCTTGAGGTTCAGAGCCAGGCGAATGTGAGGTTATGAATCACGTGAGGGTATATAACACGTCTGCCCGCATTCAAAAGAAGACAAGAAGTGTTGGATTCCACCCCCACCCCACCCTCTTAGAAAAAAAAAAAAACTATTGTGGTAATTTCTATCAGAATGGGTTGGCCAAAGAGCACCTGTCATTGTCTTTCTGGAGGGGGGAAAAGTTAAGTCTTTTGCTAGATCTGCTAAAGACTGCCCACCCCCGCCCCCCGAATTTGAACCAGATCACAAAGCAGGAAGAGTAGTCTGTTTTTTAACTTTAAAAAAAATATTTTTATTTATTGATTTTAGAGATAGGAACGGAGAGGGAGATAAAGACATCGATTTGTTGCTCATAAACAAAACACTATGATTTTCAATTAAAAAAAAAGAAACATTGATTTGTTATTCCACTTATGCATTCATTGGTTGATTCTTGTATGTACCCTGGGGGATTGAATTTACAACCTTGGTGTATCTGCAGGATACTCTAACTAGCTACCTGGCCAGGACTATTTTTCATCTTAAAGTTTCCTTTTTTGAACAGAAGGAATCTACAGTATCAAAGAAAATTACTTTGTTCCAGAATTGAAGTGTTGTTCATTAACTTATTTTGGAGTTATTATTAATGGTTAACACGTACCAGATCTCTGGGATTGGCTAAGTGGCAAATAAGTGTGTTTTTATTCTCTGTCTCTCGTGGTCTAGGAAGAGAGATTACACAAACAATCGCAACCTATTGTGGTAATAATAGTAGTTAACATTTAACATTTACTCTGCTAAGCACTAGTCCATGTACTTTATATGTATTATGAGTCAGGTATTATAAATTATACAGTAGAGGGGTGGTAGATAGGAAGAAGGAAGTGAGGAATTCTGGGGTCGGACAGGAAAGGCTTCCCAGGAGAGGTGACATTAGAACAGGGGTTTTATTTATAGGAGTTCATCAGGCAGTTGGGGAAGTGCATGTGAAGCATAATCCTTCTAGATGGTTCATTTGGGCTTTTTGGTGTAGTCAGAGGGCCAGGTTGGATGGAATCAGCAGGAGATTGATGCAATAGAAGAACAGAGGTGATTAGTTCAGGGCAGGTTGTATACGCCCTGTAGAGGTGTTTGAATTTTATCTAATATACCAGAATTTCTTCAGATTATAGACTTTTTGCACTGAAATCATCTGAGGTGTCCCCAGTTTCTCAAGTATACGAAGATTAATTCTACATGGATTAAATGTTTAAATGAACAACAACAACAACAAAAAATAGAAGAAAAGATAGGAGAAAGAATTCAATGATCTTGGTAAGATAGAAAATCCTGAAGTCATGAAGGAAAAAAAAGACTCATAGTAGTCCCCCCTTTATCCTCAATTTTGCTTTCTTTTTCATTTTTATTTTTTATTTATGGTTTTGCTTTCTGAGGTTTCAGTTGCCAGTGGTCACCCACAGTTCGAAATATTAAATGGCAATTTTCAGAAATCATGTTTTCAATTGCATGTCATTCAGAATAGTGGAGATGGAGAGAACAGATTTGGAACATATTTTTTAGGTAGAATTTCTTGAACTTGATGGATGAGATGTGGCAAGTTCTTACTGAGATGAATTGATGGTGCCTATTTTTTTTTTTTTTTATAATCCTCACCTGAGGACATACAGAGAGAGAGAGGGAGGGAGGGAGAGAGAGAGAAACTGCAGAGTGAAAGAGAGAGAGAGAGACAGATAGAGAGAGAAACTGCAGTGTGAAAGAGAAGCATCAGTTGGTTGTCTTTCATACTTACCCCCACCAGGGGTCCAACCTGAAACCCAGGTATATGCCCTGACTGGGAATTGAACTGGTGACACTCATCCAACTGAGCCACTCTGACCTGGTGGTGCCTAGATATTTTTGATGAGGAATTGATGTTAAATTTACTGAAAGGGAAGCACAGAACGTGGACTGATGGGAACCATGTGTTTTTGTTTATTTTACTTTTTTGTTTGTTTGTTAATCCTCAATGCAGGATATTTTTTCATTGATTTTTAGGTAGAGTGGAAGGGAGAGAAGGAGGGAGGGAGAGAGAAACATTGATGTGAGAGAGACATATTGATTGGTTGCCTCCTGCATGACCCTGACTGGGGCTGGGGATCGAACCTCCAACCCAGGTATGTGCCCTTAACTGGGAATCAAATCCAAGACCCTTTGGTCTTCGGATAGACTCTCTAACTGCTGAGCCAAACTGGTCAGGGCATTAGTTTTTATTTTGAAATAATTTCAAACTTACATAAAAATTGCAAGAATTGAACCCATATTACCAAGTTAGCATTTTACCTGATATATTTTTATTACAATACAGTTATAATAATTTCTGAATCAAGGGTTCTGTTTTGGACATAAGTTTTAGATATACATTTGACATCTAGGTTGAGCTAGCAAATTGGTTAAACCTGAACCTAAGTGGGGAGATCACTGGCTAGGCTAGAGTTACACATTTCAGGGAGATTAGCCTATAGATACAATTAAAGCCAGGTTCTGGCAGAGATCATCGGGAATGAACATAAAAAAGGGAAGAAAAGGGTAGTTGCAACATTATTACATACTGAATAGCATTAGAAAGCTAACAAAATGGACTGGAAGGTGTGCCCAGTAAAGCAGAGAAAAAACAATCAGAAAACTGACATATTAAGGAAGTCAATAGAAAGAAGTGTTTCAATGAGGGAGTGAACAGCTGGCTGAGTCAAATGCTGCTGAGAAGTTCTGTAAGATGAGGATAAGTAATAAGTGACCATTGGATTTGGCAGCATGGAGGAGGAATAGAGGGGGAAAAGGCCTGACCATTGGATTAAAGTAGAGGGCTTGCTAAGGTGTACATTTGATTGAAAACAATATGTTTTTGGCCCGGGCTGGTTTGGCTCAGCAGTTAGAACATCGCCCTGCAGACTGAAGGGTCTCGGGTTTGATTCTCAGTCAAGGTCACGGTACCTGGGTTACGGGTTCGATCTTTGACCCTGGTTGGGGTCATTCGAGCGGCAACCAATCCATGTGTCTCACATTGATGTTTCTCTCTCTCTCCCTTTCTCCCTTCCACTCTAAAAATTGATGGAAAAATATCCTTGGGTGAGGATTAACAAAAGACAACCAATCAACCCCCAAGAAACAATATGTTTTGCACTTTGGCAGAGTATAGACCACAGTTTCCCATTTTTCAGCCTTGGCACTATTGACATTTTGGGCCAGTTGGTCCTTTGTTGTGAGGGGCTGTCTTGTGCATTGCATGATGTTTGGTAATATCTCTGGATTGTGTCCACTGGATGCTAGTAGCACCCTCTTGACCCCAGTTCTGACAACAAAAAATGTCTGCAGACATTTCCAGATGTCCCTTGGCAGGCAAAATGGCCCATGGTTGAGAATTATAGGTTTAAACTCTTAAATGAAAGACATAAATATTAATGATAAATTTTTAGACATTAGATCACTGAATGGGAAGATGTTTAGGGGCAAGCAAGGAACCTTTCTGGCATTCCAGAATTTTTGGCAATGTTGTGAATACCTGCTTTGCCTATAATGCAAGTTGTACTGTTTGCATTACACCTTTGATAATTCATAAGACACTTAATCTTACCTTGCATTGTCACTATTATGCACATTGGTTATCATTATAGAGGATTTGGGATGTAAATATGTAGAAACTTGTCCTGAATCTGTATTAACCTCACCATAGCCTAGAAATTGTTACTTTGAAAAAATAGTATTACTTCCTTTAATAGTCTCTTGACTTTTTCTCATATAAATATGGTAGAGAATATGCAATTTTAATTTTTATTTAGTTTAACTTCCTGATTCATAGTTTCTAGAAAAATTCCCCTTTACTTGACAAAGCTACCTTTTGATGCACATAAGGGAATTAGTCTTAATGCAGCACCTTTTGATTAGCTGCAGAACTGCAGATTTGGGAAGAGATCAAGAAAGTACAGAGTTACTCATCTAACAAATCTGGTTTGGAGGCACTGTCCTGTAGCACTCAGGGTGCTGTAAATATGGATTAGATGTAGGTCAGGTCCACCAAAACATTACCATCTAGAAAGAGAGGTAGGAATTGTACATAACTATTTATATTAAAGGTGAGGAGTATAGTTAGGGAGGTACTGTTCAGATGATTGTAGACATTCAGAGTAGAGGGTGATTACCTCTAGCAAGGGGTGAAAGGAAGGAAGGATGGGTGGAAATCAATAAAATAGTCCTGACACTTGTGTAATAGATGGTAGGATTTGGATTTA